GAATATGTTACCATCTTTAAGCTTAATTCAACCTTTGTTACCAACGTAAAACTATAGCGGTTAGTGGCAGCCCAATTGGTCAATTTTTTTATTGATGCAGTATTATATTTTTGAAAAAGAATGACATGTGTTCAGACGAAAAGAACAAGTTGACAAGTTGAGGTCAATTTTTTTTTTTTAAGGTTTTATCTAATATATTTTTTAAAAAAATTGATTCAATTTTAATTTATTTATATTAAATTTTAAAAATTATTAAAAAATAATAGTTGAAGTTAAATTTTCGACAAAATGAAACTTATGAAATTAATTATTATTTGGGGTAATTTCTTTTTAGCTAATGTATTTGACCATGAAAAAAAATTAAAGACGTATGTGTTCACATTAAAGCCATTAATGGAGGGTTTTTGAGTTTTGATGAGAAAAATAGTTTGAAATCATATATAACATTATTATATGATACATGATTACTTAATAAGGTTTGTTTATGTACAATCTTATATGGATAATTTATATTATTAACACGTAAAATAATTTTTTAATTGTATTTATTTACCAAATAATTTTATTATTTAAATTAAAAAAATGTTTTAAATCTTAAAAAATTAGATTTATCTAAATTTTTTTATGTTAAATAATTTATAACCTTTATTCTCATTTAAATAAGATAAACTTATTGGACCTATTCCAAAGAAAATAAAAATAAAAATAAAAATCTTATTTAAAATTAACCTAAGTATTTTTTATATAGAACATGTATATATTCTTTATCTTGCATTTAAGCTATGTAAGTATGTTGTAAAATAATTTTAAACTTTTGGACTTCATTTATTTATTTTTTATTATTATAATTATATGTTATGTAAAGCGTAGATATATTTAGATGTTGTGTTTTTATTATTAAATTTGTAATATATGTTTTCAATATTTTTGTTCTAAATCAATCATTTGATGTGTCGTTGTTAGTAAAACTAAATACATACATAGAAAATGTGTATTATTATAATTTCGTCATGTATAATAAATATATAATCAACTTTCACTTTAAATTATTTTTTGATGTACAAATTTAAATAAAGGGTTATAAAAATATATTTTTTAATAAGTTAAATAAGACCATAGATCCATAACAATATATAATATTTATAGTTATTTTTTATTTACATTACAATAATTTTTTTAATATTTCATATATCCTATGATGTATATAGAACAAAGATAATTATTTATAAAGATCCCATGATGTGCTTTTTTTTTTTTTTAAATTCATTGCATTCCGATTTTCTTAAGATGAAATGATGGGCTTTAAGATTTGGAACCATTTGAAACATTAGACAATGCTTTGAATTTGTTTTTCCTAACATTGGAGTGCACAAAAAAAAATTGTTTTTTGGGTCATAGTCAATTTATGACGGCTAGTTTTTTTGTTTTTATTTGAAACTTTTAAGAATTAAATTTTGATACACATTATTAAAAAAATCATACAATTATTGATAAATTATAAGAGTTAAAAGAAAATTTTTAATTAATTAAAATAATATAAAAAGTACATTAGATAATATATATATATGACTAATTATATCTACTAAATAAAAACACATGTAGATATAGAAATATATATTATTGGATTTCACCTATCAAAACCCCATTTCCAAGCTGACAATCCTTCTCTTTTGTTTATTTCCTTGTTAAATGCATAAATGTTGTTAATCATGGAAGATTATTTTAAGGAGGTCAACACAAATTCATGCATATGTTAATTTCATGATTCTATTTTAAAATTATTGGATGCATCTGAACATTGTTTTGTCATGATTGAGTAATTTTATTGGCACCATTATCAATCATTGGAGAATCGAACAAAATCGAAGAATTATTTTTAATGATAAAAAAAAAATCGATGAATTATAAGAAAGCTAATCTAATAATTCAGATTCATGCATGTATCTTAAAAGTATATACATACAATATAAAATTCAAAATAAATTAAATTTGCCAACCTAAAGCGTTAATTGAATTTTAACAAATGCAACATTTATTTTTATTGATATTAGAAGTTGCAAAATTTGCCAGTTATTATATAATATTATAATGTAAATATTAGAAATAATATTAAGTTATTCATATTTTAAAGCTAAATAAAAAAGATAAAATTACTAAAAATCAAATAAAAAAATCACATATTTTTTTTAAATTTTTTTTTAAAAGAAAAATAATTTGGATGGATTTTTGCGGTCCCATTTATAAATCTAGATGAATTTGGACATAATACAAAGTTTGAATTATTAGGTCTGATTGAATTTAAATAAACATGTATATAATTTATAACATGTTTAAACTTAATTTGACTCGGTCTATAGACACCTATAGTCGTAAATCATATGGTAAGCTTTGTTTTAATCAACTTCTTGTCTTCTTTAACTGATCCATGTTCAATTAGTCAAACAACAAGTGCATAACCTTGCTTTAGTCTTCCCTTATAACATTATTTTTCCACTAAGTTCATTTTAAAATATATCAATCATGACAGATTCATCATTAAGGATGATGGCTTTTAAATCTTTGATAATTGCTACTTTTATTTCTTTGAATCATTTAAATATTTTGGGCTTTTTTAAGTTTACCTAATAGAGTTGGCTAAAAACACGTAACCCAATATATAGAGGATGAAAAAGGTAGTTTTGCTTTATATTTTTAATGACTATTATGGCTGCCTTTTCAACTTATACTAACTATACATTCATGGCTGCCAGAAGATTAATGCATTTGTAATTTGATGATATGTCTCAAAGTATAAAAGTGGTTTAGCTACTTTGTTTTACATTACAAAAAAAAAAAAAAAAATCAACTTTCCATCAAATTGAGCAAGGGAGAGAAGACTAGCTTGAAAAGTAGAAATGAGTTAGCACTTGGCAATAATGTACTTAAGGTCCATTTTAAATGTACGGTAAGATTAGTTTTATTGAGATTGAAATCATAGTAATAAAATTATTTTAGTTATGATTGAAAAAAAATTTATTGTAATTACGATTAAAAAAATTTTTTATAGAGAATTTTTTATTAAATGCAATTCACTAAATTTAGTATTTGAATTCAATTAGTGGTGCGATAAACTTGATTGCATGAAATCCAACCCTTAGACTTAGTTAAATTAAAAGTTTAAGGAGATAGTTTATGGATATTTCATGTCAACTTTCTTCTTTTATTATGAAAATTTCATGCCTTTTTTTTTTCTCTCAAAAATTTAGTGGGATTAAGATGAAATTTGCTACTAATATACAGAATTTAGTATTGAATTTTTATCCGCATTTATCCAAAAAATATATTGAATTTTGGCAATGCACTTTGATTTTATTTGTTCACTTTTAAAAAATATTTAATATAAATGATAAATTTTATCACTATACTTTTAATTTTCTCGATTCTCAAACAAAAAAAAAAAACATAATTGAAATATTGCGTAAAATATTTTACGCAGGTAGCCAATTTTCATCAATTTTGATAAGTATATATTTAAAATCAACAAAATTAAAAATATAAAGACAAAATTCAATGAAATTAAACAATAAATAAATTCAATATCAACTCATAATACATCTCGGCAAATTTGATGTTAATCTCAAATTTAAAACTCATAAGTGAGATATGTTTTGAGGGAGGGAAACCCTTTGTGCAGATTTTATTGCAAAATCTTTGTTAAGACGTTTCCATTTGCAAAATCATGCTAGCTGATGCTGATGCATCTGCTGATGCATCTGCTGTTGCTTTGCTGTGCTCATAATTCAGGCCAGCCCCGTCTATCATGCATCAAGAAATTAAAAAAAAAAAAAAAAATCACCTTCTTAGCTTAAGATGATTTGACCATGAAAGATTAAAACTAGAACTGGTTATGGGTTAGATCAGGTTTCAGCTGGTGAAAAAGATGGAAAATTTAAAAAATATATATTCAAACATTATTAAAATATTAATATTTCAAATTAAATTAAAATATTTTATTATTAATTAATTTAATATTTCAAATTAGATTGGATTTGAGCTTAAAAAGATTTTGTCTAGAACATAACTCGAAATAATTTAAGTGAAATGTTGATATAATTGAAAACTTCAAATTTGCGAGGTCAAAATGATGAGCCTATTCTGTCTTTTTATTCAAAAAAGTGTGTAAATGTCTAACTATGATTTTACTTTAATTCTTCCCCAAGAAATTTTCAATAGAAAAAAATTTGAGCCACCGGCTAACAAGTTATTGTCTCTAATCTGATGTTGGCAAAAGCAATTGGTGCCGTAAACTGACCGCACTTAAACATTGTTGCTCCGATGGTGATAACTCAAATGTTTATTTCTTTAATTATTCCCTTCGTTTCTTGATAATAACGTGACAAAAACAGGTTGAAATTTACGGTGTCTTAATATTTAGTATTATTCCGGAAGTTGATTTACCGGAACGTTTTCGCAATCTAATTTTCAAACTCACTTCTATCTTTCGTCACATTGAGTTGGGAGAGAAATGAAACGTGCTTAAATTTGATTCTTTGTTGACATTATCCAATGCTTCGTTCAATAGCTTGAATGTGAAGCGATCAAGTTTTTGCTTTACAATATTTTTGTGGTATAGTTCGAATCTGAAGTGAACTAAATACTTGAAGAAGTAACAGGGGAAACGGTCAAAATAAGTTCAGTGTTTTACTTCAAATTCTCTTCTTTCTTTGCTTTGATTCATATCATGGCTGGAAATTGTATTGCAGCCTTTCATGGACCTCTTCATTTCCTCTTTCTTAAGGTACTTGATTTGTGTCAAGCTCGGCGAAGACCAGGTTTAAGATATTCTGCCAAGGTTTGTGCTTGGTGCAAAGAATTTTACATGAAATAAAATAAAGATTTATTCAACAAATAAGACCAATGAAGATTTTTTTTTTTAATCAACCGTGGTTCAATTTTTGCAAAAAACACGTCGAAACTAAAATTTTAAATGCATCAAATCAATGTAAAAAAAAAAATGCATTACTATTGTTTGGAGAGAAGGTTTGATCAAAACAAAACTTGATATACCATATATAAAAAAAAAAGAGACACATGAAGATAATGGCCCTCCCAATCCAGTCATTTAACCCATAAAATAGATATTGGGCTGCCCGCAAAACTGACCGACGCCCAAACCCAACTTTTGTACTGAAGCCTGGATTTGAGTTGCTAGGTCAATTTCTTGTTTGATACAGAGAAGAGTTATAATGTTACCACACTTCATAGCTTGAAGAACTTGGTTTAGTTTTACCAAACAAGAAAATATGAATGAGAATGGAATCATTCAGGGAAAGAGGAAACAGATTCGATAGAGAAAATGAACTAGTCTTTCACCTTAACCTGTACAGATTACTTTGTGCCATCAGCTTAAACCAACCTCAACCAGCCGAGCCTCCTAAAACTCCAGTATCTTCAATCACTGCCTGATAATGGGTACAAAATTACAAAGAATTAAGTTGTAATTGGAGATTATAATTGGAGCTTAGCTGGATTTTCTTTCCAAACTTTACATATTTCTCGAAAATGTCAATATAATAAACACAATGCAATCGAAACAATAAAGATTCAAAGGGGGGGAAATTCTACAAAATAAATTATACATGACACCTCTAGATTCGCTATATTTTTCATACGCAATACAGCCATCCTAAAGACTGCTTTCGGCATCACCTAAACCCTAAACTACCTAGACTAACTATTAAGAATTCCCCTCACTGTTACAACGGAATACAGTTACAGTATAAGTACTTGTTAACTTATCTCAAGTTCATATCAGGATCATCTTCATCATCAAAATCTTGTTCACTTGATGGCCTGATTCTCTTTCCATCTCTCGCTGACGAGGCAGTTCTTCCCTTCTTTGGTTTCCCTCTAAATATTAAACAAATACAAGTTATATGTTATGAGCTGATATCTAAAAGTTTCACTTGATTGAGTAATGCCAACTCGATCTGGAATCTACTGTTCTCTTTTATTGTTTCTCTTCAAAACTAAAATAGTAAAAGATGAATGAGCAGACTCACTGGCCATTGGCGGCTAGCCCTCCAGCCTTAGACTGACCTGAACCAAAATCAGATCTTCCATCTGCAGCAGAGAGGATGTCAAAAAATAGATTTTAAGGGGGAAAACATTAGTAAAATAACGAACAAGGTTTACCATACTGTCGAACTCCCAGTTCTTCAGCCTGAACATAAAGAAGCAAAGTGAACAAACCAGTCTAGGTAAATCTGAAAAACTATCTCAACTATATGTACTCTTGAGACACAGCCTTGTCATAACCATTTTGCAAAATTGATTTCTGCTAAAACAAATGGAAGGTACAGCACAATTGCACAAACATGGTAAGACTAGAGCAATAGTCGAATAATACTGAAGATAACAAATCATCATCATCATCATCATCATCAATGACAATTCCATTCACCACCTCATGTAACTAATGGTTTATTTCGAGACAAAATGCAACCGAAATTATCTTGAGAAAGACATGCAACAAAGAGATCTGAAGATAAGCATCACGTACTGACAGCATGTTTTGTCAGCTTAAGTCAAATGCTCTTATGTGATAATAAGGTCATAAATTCCCAAGAGCGGATAGAAGCGGGAAAAAAGTACATCATACTGTTCCTAAAAGGGTATATTATTGGAAAAGCTCCTTTGCTTCTAGTTTAATCACATCAAGTGCCGAAGGAAACATAATACAGAGTTTCAGCATACCATCAAACCATGTGTTGTTGCTATCATAACAGGCCGAAATGTGACTCTCCAGGCAATAAACATTAAAATGCAACTACTTGATATCATCACATAATAATATGGAGATGGCCTAGAAGATGCCATTCAGGAAGTTGACAACGTTAGTGTATGCGCATGTGTGTGTGTGTGTGTGAGAGAGAGAGAGTTGGAATATTATGGGAATATTCCATGGGAGATAGTTTAGGAGGGATTAATTGGGAGCATGATAGTTTAGGAGGGATTAATTGGGAGCATTAATGTGTAATTTGTAATTGATTCTCTTTTCTTGGTATTGTCTATATAATGAAAGGCTAATCCAAGGGATTAGCAGGTTGTTCTCTAAAGCCTTAGCTCTAAAATGGTATTAGAGCCAGCAACGCAACCCTAGCCGTTGCCACCCCCCTTCTCTCTCCCTTTCGCCAAACCCCTCTGCGATAGCCTCTGCGTCGTCACCTAAGCCATCTCTACTACAGACTTTGATCTTGCAGCCCTAAAGCTGCATACTTAAAACTTGTTCTTCCTTTTCAAAAATCCCTCATTAGTTGAAAGGGGGCCGTCCCCTTATTTTCAAAGATGGCAAGAAGAAGGGGATACACCTTCTTCGTGAATGATAGATTAAGGGAGACAAGTTCCTCTCGATGTAGAGCGTGGCTGCAGAACTAGGGATGGTGTTCCTTGTTGTTGAATAGGGGTTGTGTTAGTCGATTGAAGGATTACCAGTTGTGTTCTGAAGGAAGAAGGATATGTGGCCATGGCAAAGGGAGAGGCAACCGCATCAAAGGTGATAACTTAAGAGTTTGTCATGGGCTCACGGTTGTCAGATGAGAAACTTGATGGCTCCAACTACCTGCCATGGAGCAAGATTGTGTTGGTGACCTTGCGAGTTCTTGGAAAGGCTCGGTTTTTGACAAGTGAGTTGCCAGCAAAGGCTCAGAGTGTCCAACGTGGGAGCAGAAGGACAATTGAGTACTTGGACAATTATTCAACTTAATGAAACGACAAGTCAAGGTGATGCTCAATCAATACTTTGCAACTAAGGAACTTTGGGATGCTTTAAAAATTGTTTATGCAAATTCTAAGAATTGGCAAGGGATCTTAGATGTTTCCAGGGCATGGACTAGAATGGACCAGCCTGATAGGAGCCTGAGGGAATATTTTGCTGCAGGAGGTATATGACGAGTTCAATGAACTCATGCCCTTGTTTACCAATTTGAAGACAAACCAGGAGCAACGAGAGGCTCTAGTTGTAGTGTTTTTCTTAGCAGGATTGAAGAAAGAGTACGCTAATGCTAGTACCTAGATGTTAGCAAGTAGAGATCCACTTTCTTTACTGGATGTTATAAGTGCCTGAGCAGGGTCACTTAGCATGATCCTCCATAGAAAGACAAGGAAGTATTTGTTGCCCCACAACGTGAAGGGCGAGCACTATGCGGACGATGTTGTGGACGAGGTAGAGGACGTGGAAATGGTAGAGGAGACCCACGGTCCTGCTACCATTGTAGACAGCAGGGACACTTACAGAATGTTTGTCTGCAGCTTCGAGGCAATTCTAGCCCACCAACAACATATGTGACTGATGTTGCGCTTCAACCCCAGTAACAAGTAGAGAAAGGAGTTCAGTTATCCCAAAATGAGTATGATAGGCCTATTCAGATGGTTCAGAATCGAACTTCGATCTCCTCTCCGACAGCAACTTTTATACAAGGTAAATTTACTGCATACCTGGTTACCCCCTCTAAGACTTGGGTGATTGATTCAGAAGTTTCAGATCACATGACCTATGAATGGGAAACATTCTGTTTTGGTTGCTGATGGAAACTCTATAGATATTGTGGGAAGTGGCAAAGCTTCACCTATATTCACGTTACGTTTACATGCTGTGCTACATGTCCCTTCTTCTCCTTTTAACTTACTTTCAGTTAGTCAGATTAAAAGGAATTTAAATTGCAGTGTTTCCTTCTTTCCTACTTATTATGTTTTTCAAGATCTATTGATGAAGCAAATTATTGGCAGGGGAAGGATCAAACAAGGTCTTTATGTACTTGATGTCATACAGAAGATATAGTCTAGATTAATGACATACTTAGGAGAATTGTCATCAACTTATTAGTCTCATTGTCGCTTTGGTCATCCATCTATGTCAACTTTAAGAGCTATGTGTCCTCATCCATCATCTTTTAGTTTGGATTATTAATCGTGCAAGTTTGCTAAACTGCACAGAATATCCTATTGACCTCGATTTAATAAAAGAGAAAAGTTTCCTTTTGCTGTGATTCATTCTAATGTATGGGGGCCTTATCCTATTATTTTGAAATCTGGTTATAGATACTTTGTGACATTTGTTGATGATTATTTACGAGTTTGTTGGTTGTATTTGTTGTGGAGGCGTTTTGAATTATTCTCTGTCTTCACTACCTTTCATGTAGAAATAGAGAATCAATTCGATAAGTCTATCAAACTTTTACAGAGTGATAATGGGGGAGAGTATTTTTCTACTGAGTTTGTTCAATTCCTAAATGCAAAAGGTATTGTTAATCAATCCTCGTGTACGGATACCCCAAAGCAAAATGGGGTTGTTGAAGGGAAGAATTGCCATTTGTTGGAAGTGACTAGAGCTTTTTTGTTTCAAAGGAAGGTCCCTAAGGTGTTCTAGAGTAAACCTGTCCTCACAGCATGCTATCTTATAAATCGTTTGCCATTCTCAGCTCTTCAAGGAAAAATTCCTCTTCAAGTATTGTGTCCTGATTGTCCTTTATTTCCACTCTCCCTCAAGGTGTTTGGGTGCACATGTTTTGTTCGTGACACTCGTCCAGGTTGCACTAAATTAGACTCACGTTCTCTTAAGTGTATCTTCCTAGGTCATTCATATGTTCAGAAAGGATACCGTTGCTACTCTCTAGACTTGAGTCGCTTTATTATTTCGGCAAATGTCGCATTCCATGAGTCGGTTCCTGTTCCTTTGGTACTACAGTCTCATCCATAACCTATCATATCAGAAGAAGATGATTTTCTCATCTATCAAATACATAATACAGCAGTCAATAAATCTCTTTTTGAGGCATGCTTAGGTACTCGATTTGGTCATACGTGCACTAAAAAGACCTACGTAGATCCACCTACAGAAACTTCCCCTATTGAGATAGTCTCTTCGTCAATGGATCCACCTCGAGACACTATGGCTAAAGATGTATTGATTGCTCTACGAAAAGGTATGCGAACTTGCAAAAATTTTCCTTTACACACACTCTCATACAAAGGACTTTTTGTTCAACTTCATACTTGTATTGCCACAATTGATGCTATTACTGTGCTGCGTACTCTTTGAGATGAGACAATGGCCCTAGAGGCCAACCATACATGGGACTAGGTTTCCTTGCCAAAAGGGAAGCAAGCTATTGGGTGCAAGTGGGTTTACACCACAAAATTGAATCTTGATGGTTCATTTGCTAAATTGAAGGCAAGACTAGTAGCAAAGGGATATGCATAAATATATGGAGTAGATTATTTTAATACCTTTTCACCAATGGCAAAGATGACATCTATTCGCCTATTCCTTAGTTTTGCTGCTACAGATAAATGGGCATTACATCAGTTGGATGTAAAAAATGCTTTCCTATATGGTGACTTGATTGAGGAGGTATATATGGAGCAGCCACCGGGGTTTGTTGCTTTGGGAGAGTCTGGGAAGATGTGTCATTTGCATAAGTCTCTATATGGTCTGAAGCAAACTCCACGTGCATGGTTCGCCAAATTTAGTGCAACTCTTGTTCAATATGGCATGCAACAGAGTGAGAAGGATCATTTAGTATTTTATATGCAGCAGAGTTCTAGTCTTATATTGTTGGGAGTGTATGTAGATGATATCATCATCACTAGAAGTGATAGTGCAGGGATTGACAGACTTAAGATGTATCTTAAGTCCCAGTTTGAGACCAAGGATCTTGGTCAATTGAAATATTTTCTTGGCATTGAAGTGGCAAGGTGTAAAAAGGGAATCTTTGTATCTCAAAGGAAGTATGTGTTGTATATTTTCAGAGAAGCAGGCTTGTTTCATGCCAAGCTAAGTGACACACCAATAGATTAAGGTAGCAAGCTTTCTTCAGAAGATGGCACTTTACTTGATGATTCCACACCTTACAGGAGACTAGTGGGAAAACTGAATTACTTAACCATGACGAGACCTGATATATCTTTTTCAGTGAGTGTGGTAAGTCAATTCATGGCAGCTCCTAGAGATACTCACTGGAGAGCAGCGATGCACATCCTCCGATATTTGTTGAGAAATCATGGAAAGGGAATATTCTACAGTTCTACTAGTGATGGGAGTATTCAAGCCTTAGGAAGATGTAGATTGGGCAAGCTCTCCCATAGATAGGAAGTCTACATCCAGTTATGCTATTTTCCTTGGAGTAATTTGGTGTCCTGGAAGAGCAAGAAGTAGCAAGTAATTGCTAGGTCTAGTGCAGAAGCAAAGTATAGAGCCATGACTATGGCTACAACAGAGGTATTATGGATGGTTCAATTCTTAGATGAAATTGGACTTTTAGTTCAGACACCTACAAAGTTATAGTGTGATAATCAGGCGGCAATTCATAATCTAGTATTTCTTGAAAGAACCAAGCATATAGAAGTTGATTGTCATTTCATTAAGGAAAAGTTGTAGAGTGGAACAATATTACTGAAGTATGGGGGCACAAGAGAACAACTAGCCGATATTCTTACGAAATCATATCCAAGAGTTCAAGTTGACTATATATGTAACAAGTTGAGCATGATTGATATATATGTTTCAGCTTGAGGGGGAGTGTTAGCGTATGCACGTGTGTGAGTTAGAATATTATGAGAATATTACATGGGAGACAGTTTAGGAGGGATTAATTGGGAGCATTAGTGTGTAATTTGCAATTGATTCTCTTTTCTTAGTATTGTCTATATAATGAAAGGCTAATCCAAGAGATTAGCAAGTTTTTCTCTAAAGCCTTAATTCTAACAGACAAGATCAACTACCCCATCTCAACTCTCTTTAGTTCAAATAAACTTATGCTATGTAAGAATGACATTTAACAATAGCAACATATCAAATGTCATGCTAAAACATAATAGCCTTTCTAATCTCAATACTTAGAGTGATTGCTATAAATTTCCTCTGTGATATAATCTATTAGGAAATTTAATTTCACGCTTAATTTAAGATACACAAGATCACAGAGATATCAAGCCCAAGTAAATGCTCACAATATTTATTTAACTCTAACCATCTAACACTGAATACACATTTAAAGTGTCACCTCTATCCAAGAGAAAGAATAAACAAAAATGGAAACGAACATGCTAAAAGGCAGTAAAAGACATTACTCATAAATACTGAGGCTTATACTATCACCTACCACTGCTGATGTGACTGAAGACAAAGAGAACAATCTATCTTCTGGCTGAAATTTTCTGGACCTCTTTAAGCTACAAAAACACAATTACAAGAATTTTCTGTCACAAAAAATCAAACATGAAATACTTAACATGATTACCCACCAGCAGTATTCAGTAGGAGTCTCAATTAAATACAAGAATATGTGCTGTGATACCCATTTATGCACTATTACTATATAAACTCTTCCTAGAACGCCAATTATGGATCAACAAAAAATCACGATATAACATGTCATTAAAATTTCTATGTCAACATAAACAGGTAGAGATTTTTCATTGATCAGAAAAAGTATTGTAAACTATACCGACATGCAGACGTGGCAAATTTTAATGATGTGTCATAACTTGATCAAATCAGCCTACCACTGAAATTATGTAAAAAATTTTCTCACTAATTTTGTAGATTTCCAGTAAAAAGAATTGTAACTTATAAAGATAATAATCTGCATATATACAGTCAGATATTAAAAAATTGCAAACTGGAAATTAATTCTATGATTAAAATAAAATTTAGACATAAAATTACCAGCAGTAAATAAAAGGGTTAATGTCATAAATAGCCCTTACAATATAGTAGAATATTTAATGTATACCTAAACTTTAAAAGTTTTTAATGGGATCCATGAACTATGAATCAATAACTAATATGATACTCACATCTAATGTGGCTAGCTTTAAATGATAACACTGATAAACAAATAACCCTTCAAGTACCATATTAATTGATATATTTATAATTCAGGCATATTTTTAAAATTTAAATATCATCTTAAATGTTTCACTATAGATTAGAGCCATTCTTAACATTATCCATAAATAAAACAACATAGCGTTAAAAAAAGTAGTTACTTTGTTGTGTTCTTGGATGAAGAAAGAAACCCTTCGAATCCTTTCAAAACATGCCCAAAATGGCTCGAATCTTGCAAATAATTAGTCTCTAACTCATAAACCTACATCAAGAATATCAATTAAATTAAGCAATTTAATGGTAATTGTAAAATTCCTCAAAGTTATTACTTCTCTACTGATATATACACATAAGAGAAAAAAGTAAAATTCTCCGGAGTACAACAGGAAAAAAAATTACCTGCTTTTCGATATTGCGAAGCTCGTTTTGAAGCTTCTCTCTTTTGGTCATGAGAGAAGCAAGCACAGCCGCCGGATTTGCCGAACCTTTGTGCCCTAAAGCCATTTTAGTCAAAAACAAAAACAACTTTCTGTTTGGTTCTAGGGAAAGAAGCAGAGAAAATTGAAACGAAGATTTTGAAAAAAAAAATTTAATGGTTTTGTACAGAGAATTTTAGTAGTTTTTAGTTTTAAATTTCAAAAACAGATAGGCGTAGTTTGGTTTGAATAAAATTTGAGGGAAAAAGAAAATGAAAACGGTTAGGCCTGGGACGGGGAGGAGCGACGTTTTAGAGAAGAAGATGAGGCAAAAAAAGAAACGAGGGTGGAAGGGCACAACTCTAAACGGTGTCGCTTAAGGTATTTTTCCTTTTTTTTTTTTAAATTATTTTTGGATCCCTTTAAACCTTTTACTAATAGAAATGAATCTAAAGCAAAGCAATTTTCATTTTATACAAAAAAAAAAATCATTTTTATTAACTCAAAAAGCTAAAATAAAGCTTTTTTTTTTATTATATTTTCAAAATAGTTTCTACATTTTCTTTTTCTACTTATTTTCTCTCCATAAGGGCTCTTCTCTCTTTCTTCCTTTATCTCAAAAACTCCCCATTTTATTTCTTCATTTGAAGCAGCTATGGCTTTTAGAGGAGTAAGTCTCTCTTTCTTTTGACTCTTTGAGATCTGATTTAGTTTGGATTATTTTTGTTCTCTTTGTTTTAGGTTAAAATGAGTTGATTTTTCCTTTTTTATTTTCATGCTGAAATTAAACAAAGTGGAGGTTTTTATTATATGGGTAGCTTCTATTTTTGTTTTAATTTATTGGGTTTTTTTTTCCTTTGTGTAAGATTGAATCTTCCATGTCTATTAAGATCTTAGCTTTTAGTTTTAGTTGCATGTTGTTTTTCCTTTTTGGGTTCATGAAATAATAGATTCCTTGATTAGATATGTTTTGCAGTTTCATTAATTAAAATCTGATGGGAATGTTAAGCAAGTCAAGCTTGGGACTTTGATGCAATCCCATTGAGCTTAGTTAAAGTAAAGTTGCCTCAAGAGCACTGCTTGAAGAAAAGATGGATTTTGATTTTGTACTCAAAATAGTGTATTCAAGGTAAATTGTCCTTTTATGGCCTCTTTTTTGTGCATCTTCGTCCCCAATTGTAAAGACTGCATCTCGTTGTAAATAGGCCTTGAGATTTGAACCAGGATTAGGCTTTTGAGTTATGTTTGATTGGTTTGCTGAATGACGGGCTTGAAATTTTATGTGCACTGCTTTGGCCTCAATTCCCATGAAATCTATGGCACTTGTGAATGGCAATGGAGTTAGAAATTAAGGATCGTTTTGGAACATTATGTTTTAGTGTCCATTTACACATTTAAATTTATCATGTGTTTTAGACGCATCTGCGTCTTGGACCTGTTGTTTAGGGTTTGTTGAACAAAGTTTATTTTGCTTTGCAGAAAATGTTATGGTTTTTTAATATAAAAAAGTCAATACTACTCATTTTTGGTTGGAGTAAGCATTGAACTTTGAGAATTTGTTTCTGGTTTTCAGGCAAATATATCATCTGGCATGGGAGTGGCTGAACACAGCAAAAGTACGTTCCTGGAGCTGCAGAGGAAGAAGGTGTTCCGATATGTGATCTTTAAGATTGATGAGAAGAAAAAGGAAGTTGTAGTTGAAAAGACTGGAGGTCCATCTGAGAGCTATGACGATTTCACTGCTTCATTGCCTGAGAATGATTGCCGTTATGCAGTTTATGACTTTGATTTTGTGACTTCTGAGAACTGCCAGAAGAGCAAGATCTTTTTTATTGCATGGTCAGTGTCTCTTTCAATTGCAAAATAATTCAATTCTGTCAAAATATTGTGCTGCATTAGCATTATAATTCAGTGAGTCTGATCTAATTATAACACATCTCATTCTTTATTTCCTCCTTTTTCACTCTGTTTGGCTTGTGAAACTCCTACACCATTGTATGCTCATTGTATAATGCAACTTGACAGAAAATGGAAGCCTGTAATGTTGGATCAATTTTTTAATCCTTTTCCCATATATCTTCATGCCTTTGATTTTTTGTAAATGATCTTTTGGTTGAAAATTTGATCATTTATGCTTTGTTAATGCCAGGAGCCTAAGGAATTTTGAATGCTGTTGTTTTTTTCTTAGGACTTTCTAGGAACTATTTTCCTTACTCAGGTTATTGTAGATTGTGTTAGTTTTGCTAGAAATACAAATGAACATGGTGTATGGGTGATGTGCCCTCCGTTCTCCAAGCAAAGAGACGGAGAGCGAATAAATATTGGTGGTGAATGAATCCATGGATGTCATGCTTCCAATGGAACTTTGGTATTTGTGCGTGAATTTAAAAGTACTTCTTCTAAGATGACGTTTTGTACTCAGGTTCCATACAAAATCAAATTATCTTCTTCACATTGGATATTAGTTTTTTGATTTTCCTACTATGCAGTTACAGTTCACAAAATTTTCTTAGTACCCCTGGATTTGATTTGTCCTGTTCTTTTACATTATTAAAAAACTGGGATCTTTTGGATTTTTTTTACTATCTACTGGTTTGGCACAAATTTGCCTTTATGATCTGGAAGGTAATTTGCTCTAGCAGTTTCATGTTTTTTCCCTTTCCTTTTGGCATTGAGAAAGATGGAGATTATATTAATGAAAGGTGTAAGATATTTAGTGAAGATTTAAACTTTGGAGCTGAGTTGTTTTGTGGTGGCTTCTACACTAGGGTAAGCAAAGAATCTTGTGTGTGATTACAAGGTGCTTCATCAGTGGTCCTGTTTTCTGGTGCATTCCTTGCTTATCTAATGCAATATTAAACCAAGTTTATCTGCTTTGCTTTTCTTTCTCTCTAAGGTTCATAAAATCAAGTTGCCTGAGTGTGCAAAACAGTGGTCTGAAAATTATGAAATTAGTTTTCATTTCTTGCCATTGACCAATTGAAGTTTTTGTGGAATTGTAAGAGAAAACGAGAATGAAAATTAACTGGAGCACATTTTTCTGTTTGTCATCTCTGTTTGTTCTGTATACAAGTCTGAATCTATGTTCTTCTGTAGGTGTCCTTCTGTTTCAAGAATCCGTGCCAAGATGGTGTATGCAACATCCTAGGAAAGGTTCAGAAGGGAATTGGAGGGCATTCATTATGACATCCAGGCAACCGACCCAACTGAGATGGATCTTGAGGTGATCAGAGAGCGTGCACATTAAGCATTCTCTCCCCTTCATCTTAGCAAACTCCCTGGAGTTGCTTTAAGGATCATTGCCTGGTTCAATTAGTTGCTGAATTAAGTGCAGTTATCTGTCTATGACACGGTACATATGTCGTTAAATAACATCTGTGAAGTTTGATTAGGAGCTCAGGGGTTCAAACATCTGGGGGTTGGTATTGGGACCTTGGGCTCCTCATTGCCGTGATGCTTCTCAGATGAAAATGGGTGTGATTATGGATATTTTACTCTTACTAATAGAATGGCATTTCAATCACTTGTCCTGCTGTTCATCAGAGCACTTTCTGATAAATTTTTGTAGTCTTATAGGGGCTGTTGAAATATAAATAATACTTTAATTTCTAAGGTCACAGTCATTAAATCAAATATATCAGCAATTCCATGGCATTTGTTTTCTACTTCTTTTGTTTTATTCGGAGTTTTGATAGTTGAAAAGAAACCATTCTACCAAACAAAATAAAGGCCTACTGTTCTGATAATGATGATGCCTTGCAAGTCCTCAAAGATAGACAAAAAAGTCGCTAGTATATGGTGGACAATTGATCCTCCTACAAGCCTTGGGAAAAAAAGTTGGCATCTTAGGTCTAGGATGATCAATTTGGTCACCTTCGAGCTCTGACCTGTCAACAGTACCACAATTGGGATAATATTCGTATCACATGTAGACAGTAATTGCAACTGTTACAGGCAATTAGGCATGCAAAGGCAAGCCAATTTTGATTCGGGTCATGGTGACAAAAGGGTTGGGATTTTTTTAAGCGGCAACGGCTTTGGTTTTGTTTGGTATTTTTGTTTTAGTTGCACTAAGTATATTTATTTACGTATATATTTAACAATTTTATAAAAATTTACTTTTCATAACGTAAATTTAAACTCAAATAACGTATAAAAAGTAAATGAAATGAAATCATCAGAAATAATCAGTTACAAAAATTGAGAATTAGGCTGCCTGTTACTTCTTCCTACATGTTTTCATTTGATTTGTGCTTCAGTTAAACTCTTGTAATAAATGGGTCTTTTGATCACGAAAAGATGAAAAAAAAAAAAACTGTTATTTTGAAAAGGAGAGATGAAGGGTGTATGAATTGAATGACACCGAGAAAAAAAGATCCCTTGTTTTGAGAAGTTACAGTGGATCCACAAAGCAGACAAGATACGTGTCCAACCACTTTCATCAATATCATACGAATCCCACGTGATCTTGACGCAGACAAGGAATGTCGCTGTATAATAATGTAATGTAAGTAATGAAGAAATATCATCAATTGTTTTTACCAAACCCTTCAAGTTTATGTCTGTTTTTACCGAGTTTCTAGCTACTAGCTACATGGGGTAAAACTGGGTTGGTCAAAAAAAATTGTTTTAATTTATTTTAGTTGTCCTTGTTTGTGGGTAACATTCTTTAATGCGATAATTAAGGAATCACTCAAATCTGTGTTTCTGTTTTTGGAGGCTCCGATCTGTATTCTTTACTCGTAGTAAATCTGATCTTCCACAGTATACGGAGTATTGGAAAGTTCATGAACAGTGCTTTTAAGATTTATATAGGTTGTTTTCCAATAAAGGGTATTGCTTCTTTTTGTGGAGTTTTTGCTTGTCTATTCTACTAGTTCTGGTGGAGCTCTAAATCAAGGTCTTGGAGTAGGAGATATTTTGTAAGTTTCTGGTGTTTGATTGGTGGAATTGGGGATAGGTGAGACAGGTAGGGAAGGCCTAATTGAAGTTAGATTTGGTTGGATATCCTGGATACATAAGAGCAGCATAAAAGTTGTAAACAGCCGGATAATCTGGGTTTTTTTGGCTTTAGCAGCAATTGGTAATTTTGACTGCAATAGGCTAAACTAATATTTCTCATTTTATGGTTCAAGGGGCTTTTGTTGCTATTGAGATGTTTTGCAAGTGTTTGGCAAATCTGAGTTTGTTTCAAGTTTGATTTGGCTTTGTAGCATAAAACTATCTTGGATGAATTTGTCCAATTTAGGACTTTGTTGATGTTCATGTTTTGGATTGTAGGAAAGATATAGAGATTATTCATTTCTTTATGAACTCGAAGACTTACGGTCTTATCTGAAGGATCTTGTTAGATCAACATGAGTAGCAGTAAGACGATCGTCTGGTTCAGAAGGGACCTCAGGATTGATGACAATCCTGCTTTGGCTGCTGCTGCAAGGGATGGTAGTGTCTTTCCTGTTTATATTTGGTGCCCTAAAGAGGAGGGGCAGTTCTACCCAGGTCGAGTGTCGCGATGGTGGCTGAAGCAATCTCTTGCTCATTTGGAGCAGTCCTTGAAGTCTCTTGGGGCTGAACTTTTGCTGATTAAGACCCAAAGTACTCTTTCAGCTCTTTTAGATTGCATCAACGCTACTGGGGCAACAAAAGTGGTATTCAACCATCTTTATGGTATGTTCTGATTCCTCTGATTAATGCTGCTTTTCTAAACCAATATGAATTTTAATTTGCTTTATATTATGAAGCATGTTTATCATTGAATTCTAATGCAATTTCTTTCTTGGTATCCCTGGAATCCAAACAATTGTAACTGCAATGGTCTCTATTGAATTAGACATGCTGACTGCTTACAAGAAGACTATAGCTGCTATAATCTAAACTTCTTTGAGGCGATTTATACTTCTGCTATTAATCCAATGATGTGATCATAATTAACTTACTTTCGGAAGCTTGATCCCCGTTCCCAGCCTTTTTTTTTCCCTAAAAAATGAGAAAATATTAAGCATGAATATTGATGGGATAAAAAGGAAATTTTGATATTCTCAAAGAAGTTATGATAAAGTTTAGTTTAAATTGTGAGTTGTTCATATATTTAAGAAGTGATTAAAAAAATTGTTGCTTAAAAGTTCAGAAACATTGAAGAATGAAATTGGATGGAAATAAACACATAAGAAGTATAGTTTTCATCATGGGATTACCTTGAGATCAGGGTTATTTTTAGAAATCAGCAAAAGAGAGAGTCTAATAATTGAATAAGTGCAAACATGTTAAGTACATGAGCATGCATCCAAAAGGAAGAATAAAGGAATGATTACTTTTCCTTTTGGGGCACAATATTCATAGAAGCACGGCTTATTGGAGCTCTCTATCAGCTCCAATATAGGCAAAGTCATTATTCCTTTAAAAGTAGAAAAATTTTCAATATGGGTCATGTGTGTTGTCTAGAATGGTAATGGACTTCTCAAGGTGGAGTGCTTGTTTCCCTCTGTTTCTTCTTTTCTCTAGGGGAGGATGCTTTACGCGCTAGCCAGATTTAATTTCTTCTTTGTACGATTGTGATGCCTTGACATTTCCCTGCTTTGGTTAATTTCCATGCATGTAAACACAAGTAATTTTTTTGTTTTAGTTGAAATCGACCCTTTATTTACCCCTAGAGTAAATTAATTCCTTCATGGATGAGAAGTTTGGCTGTCCAATTTTGTTCTTATTCCATTCCTTTTTCTTGAGAGGTCTTGTAAGATGTATCATGTTTCCTGTCCGTTTTCAGATCCTGTTTCACTAGTTCGTGATCATAGCATCAAAGAGAAACTGGCAGAGGTTGGCATTTCTGTGCAGAGCTATAATGGAGATTTGTTGTATGAACCATGGGAGATATATGACGAGAAGGGACAAGCTTTTACGACCTTTGATGCATATTGGGACAAGTGTTTGAACATGCAAACGGAACCCATTTCACTTCTTCCCCCATGGAGATTGGTGCCAGTTGCAGGTAAATTTCAACAGAATATCATCTAATTCAGTGTGGTTTTTTCTTGATAGTAAAGTTAATTGGAAGATATCTTGGTTAAAACTATAGTGTTAAAATTAAGATGACAGATCTGCTTCTTTTTTTAATGATGATTTAAGTGGGAACCATGTCATCCTTGTCTTCTGCTAAGAATTCATCTTCCTTGAAGAAATTATGTTTTAGAGATATGTATATGCATGCATTTGTTTGCTTGTTGCAGCCTAAAAAAGTTTTTTTTTTTTTTTTTTTCCATTTTTAGGGGCACAAATATGATCCTCGACCTCTGATAAATTAATTTCCGTAGACAGATGCATAAGAAGTTTGAAGTTGTTCATGCAAAACATGCACAATGTAGGTTTATACATATTTATGTCTGTGTGAATTTTGAAGAAACAGAAAGATGAATTGTGGATGAACAACTTGTGTGTTTGTGTGTATATACATATGCACATTGCAAAATGAATAACTAGTTGCTGAATCCTTATTAGTGACAGGAACATTAGAAAGGTGCTCTATTGAAAGTTTGGGCCTTGAAAACGAATCAGAAAAATCTAGCAATGCATTGTTAGGAAGAGGATGGTCTCCAGGTTGGAGCAATGCTGATAAGGCTCTAACTGAGTTTGTTGAACAGAATCTATCCGACTATTCAAAAAGTAGGCTTAAGGTTGGGGGCAACTCTACATCAGTTTTGTCCCCATATCTTCATTTTGGGGAGCTAAGTGTGAGGAAAGTTTTCCAGTGTATGCGGATGAAACAGATACTATGGAGAAGAGAACAGAATTCTCAAGGGGAAGAGAGTGTAACACTTTTTCTAAAGGCCATTGGGCTTAGAGAATACTCCCGTTATCTTTGTTTCAACTTTCCATTCACTCATGAGAGATCATTGCTAAGGAACTTGACGTATTTTCCTTGGCATGCTGATGTGAACCATTTTAAGGTTTGGAGACAAGGCCGGACAGGGTATCCATTGGTGGATGCAGGAATGAGGGAGCTTTGGGCAACTGGTTGGATACACAACAGAATAAGAGTGATTGTTTCAAGCTTTGCGGTGAAGTTTCTTCTTCTTCCATGGAAATGGGGAATGAAGTATTTCTGGGACACGCTTTTGGATGCAGATTTGGAATGTGATATCCTTGGTTGGCAGTACATCTCTGGGGGCTTACCGGATGGTCATGAACTAGAAAGATTAGACAGCCCACAGGTGCATTAAGTTCCCTAATTAATTTATTAACTGCAAAAATAAGTAGCAATCAATGCGATTTCGACAAATATCTCCAGTACCTTTCATTTTGAGGTCATGTAATCTTTATTCATAGTAACTTGTGATTTGCAGTCTTTTGCATCTAATTAGAGTTGTGTGTTTGTAAAGTATCTACATCAAGTTTCAGCTTTTGGAATATAGGTTGTGGCTATGCAGTACTGCAAATGGAACATATGTTTCAGCCTACACAAATAGTTTAAAAGTGCAAACTCATCCTTACAATGAATAAAATAATTGGATTATATATGTCTTATTGAACTTGTCCAATATGTTTTACAAACTTTAGAAATATGATCCTTAGCATAATTTCTGGTCTGCAAAAAGCAAATGATATTAGTCAACAGTGGACAGATTTTCTAATTGAGGAAAATGGCTTGTGGTAGTTAGCACTATTAAAAGTAGAGATAGATCTTGTATATTGATGCCATAAGTTATTTTTCCTATCTTTGGACCTCATTTTTTGTTGATTTTTGGAGTCAGATTCAAGGCTCAAAATTTGACCCAGAAGGTGAATATGTAAGGCAATGGCTGCCAGAGCTAGCAAGGATGCCAACCGAGTGGATCCATCATCCTTGGGATGCACCTCCTATTGTGCTTAAAGCTGCAGGTGTGGAGTTGGGCTTAAATTATCCAAAACCCATAATAGATATAGATACAGCTAGAGAACACCTGACAGAAGCTATATTTAAAATGTGGGAAATGGAAGCAGCTGCAATTTCGGATGGTATGATTGAAGAAGTTTTTGATAATTCTGATGGTATTGAAACCTCTTCCATACCAAAAGTTATCCTAAATGAAAAGTCTTCATGTCCAACATATTCATCTAATGATCAGAGGGTTCCATCATTTCAAAATTGCAATAATCGTTCATTAAATAGGAAGAGAGCAAAACATGTGGAAGAAGAAAGCTTGCATTCGGATAAATTGAATAATCACAATAAAGAAGCAGGGACCTCAAGAGGAGAAGAAGACATGTGCTCAACAGCTGAATCTTCAGCATCTAAGAGGCAGAGTACTAGCAGAATATCATTCTCTGTTCCCCAATCTTTCGCTTCATCCGATGTCAGGCCTTTGCAGGAGTATGAATCTTCTGATCTGAAGCAATCATGGCAAGAAAAGATTGACTTGGAACAGACTTCAAGCAGAAATGGTAAGTAATTGCAGTTAATTTATAGTTTGGCTATCTAAGAAGCTACTGAGTTTGGACCCATTTCTAGTTCTTTCGATTACCTGTCTAATACATGGGATTAGTCAACCTGCAAATTAGTGTGCTTTCACGTGCATGACAATTACAAATTATTGGATGATGTTAAGCCATAGCATACAACAATATTTTGTAATTCCCTGTAATAAACTACTCTACAAGAAAGGCAAATGGCTAACTTGTTTTGCTAAGTAATGTGCATGGGTAACTTCAAAATTCATGATATCTGTTTGGGGCCATTCAGAATACTTCCCTTTATCATTCATGATCTTGATGAAGAACAGCTTGGTTGGTTATGGGCATTGCCGCTGTACTTTCTGCGGAAAAGTATTGTAGTTTGCTGAACACTTGTTTTGCTGCCTGTGTTTGTGTTCCCATCACAGCCTCTTTGATTTATTTCTTCTGAAATAGAGCACAGGAATGGAAGCAACAGCAGGAAAATATGATTGTTCAACAAACTATATCCTTGTACAAACTTACACTTAAGATTGCAGTTGCCTTATTGCTTTGCTTTGGAAAGTTGGAAAGATTGAACATAGAAAACCAAGAGAATAGGAAGTAAGACACGTTATCAAAATTCTACTAACAAAGCTGTTCTTACTGATTCAGATTTTCCAATCCCACAAGAAACAACCCCAGTTCCAAACCATGTAAATGGATAAAGAGTGTGCAGTCTATTTGTTTTATAGGTTTTTATGAAGTTTGAGCTTTAATTTCAAATGAAAGATTATGTTTCAAAATAACTTTTTTCAGAAAAAAAAAAAAAAAAAGAGAAAAATGTGGGATGTTGATCATTAACTTCTAATACATCTTTTGAAACTTTATACTGTCAACTTAGCAGGAGCTATGGGATAGTAGTGCGGGTATCTCTCTCATATTCCCAGGCAATGACCTACTGATCAAGAAGATCCAAACGGTCAGCACATGAATGCTGCAGCTTTTATTCTGTTTTCATTTAGGCTCGACTAACTTAAATGTTTCCTATCATATGCTTGCGTTCTGATCAGTTGTTTATATATAGATATTCTCTTCTAGCTATCGCTCCAAGTATAGAACAAATCACCAAATATTTGGGGTTTAGGCTTATGTTTAGTTGCTCATGTCTGCACATGTTCTTGCCAATGATGTAGTTATAACTATGTAATCAAGGTTACATCCTGTAGCAAATAAATAAAGTTGTCTATCTGTTATCTACCATTATACCTTGATGACCGTAATCCAGGATTCAATATAAGTCTAGTAAGCTGTTCTAAATTTGATGAATGATGCTATTAGTTTTGTTTTTGTTGTTTGATGATCAAATCTAGTATTTTTGCACTTCTGGAGCAGACATCCATGTTTATGAGATATGGTAGCATTGATTTTTTTTTTTTTTTTATGAAAATTTTTTTGTTAGTTGCATCAAAGTTACTGGAAGGAAATAGATCGATCACCAAGGGTCCAAGAACATATTTGTTAGCAGGGGAAGAAACTTTAATTGTCTTTCAACTTCCAATTTGCTAAAAGTAGAGCCGATAATTTGTGTATTTGTATTTGTATTCGTTTATTTCACATTTAATATGTGTAAAATATAAAAATTAATGCATCACAACATCAAACAAAAAATACGTTTTTTTTTTTGTCAAATTAATATACAATTTTTATTAATATTTTAAATCATGTTATTTTTATAATTTTTTAATATTATTTTCATATATCTCCTTGTTACATTTTAAATTGTTAGGCTTACATGGAAGTTCCTCCCAAACATTCTTAGTCATTATCTCTTTTTTCAGAACTTCAGTACTTTCAGTTTGATTATTCACAAACTTAATTCATCAAATAAAAAATTATTTTCATACAATTTTTATGTTATTATTTGAGAAAATATTCAAACTAGGAAAATGAGTTTATAGATATTTAAGCTCAGACCAGGGGTACCCAATGTGGCAATGAAAGATTATTATTATTATTGGAGTTATCTCGAATATAGGGCATGTAGTTACTTATCGTAAGTTGTCAGTTACGGTATATTTTATTTTAATCTAATAGACTGAACAATTTATTTATTATCGGATTTTTTGTTAAAAAAAAAAGTTATTATTATTATTATTATTATTATTATTTACTGGCATTGGAGTGTAAAAAACTGTTAGTAAAACACACTGATAATTATATACAAAATAATTTTTACTTTAAGCAAGAAAACAAACATAAAATTTAACATTATAAAGTTTAATTTATCTAACAATACACTGATTTGTTTGTTGATTGGTTTATTTATTTAATTAATTGATTCTTTATATGTAATATTCTATTATAATTGTAATTTTTCTTATAATTCTAATTTCTAAAAAAAAAATATAATTTCAACCAAGTTCACCATGAAAGGTTAGAAAGGTGACAAGCAAATTTGCCCCCTACTAGTTGTAGCATATTCTGAAATGTCCTTGTTGCTCATTTCCAGCCAAAAGGTTGCGTAAACCAGCAACTCTTTGTTTAAATAAGTTGACTACTTTGTCAATTAGCCTATGAAATTTTAAGTTATGAATTTTTTTATTATAATAATTATATGCATTAATTAAATTTAAAATAAATGAATAAAATTTAGATTATTAGAGTTTTCAAAATAGTTCTTCTTCAAATAAATTTAAGTAATATTTTGATAAATTACATCATCCTGCTCAAAAGATTTTAACCAAAAAAAAAAATCCTGATTATAATAAAATTAAAATTTATCTTTAGTTTTATATAATAAAAATCAGGTATTTATTTCTAGTTAATATATTCCAATCCTTATTTGCCCAGTAAATTAATGACAAAACAAGGAAAAAAAAGAAAAAAACAATATGAGCGATCAAAAGAATTGACATGAAATGCGCTGAATAGTCCAGTATGACTCACTGTTGTTGTCCTCAAAGGAAAGAAAGATAAGTAAATGACAATCAGCCTTGCCATAAACAAAACTACTTTGTTATTAGTTGGAAATATTTTTCTTTGGGCTGAGCTACCAAGGTTGGTCAATGGACTTGGTCCCCGGTTTTTACGATGGGATTTTGGAAATAGATTTTCGATTGGTACCTCATTACAGTTAGAGGAAATTCATTAAATTATATTATGTTAAGTACTTTTAATAAAGAAACTAAACAAGTCATAAACCAACAAAGATATTGGACATAGTTAGCCAACTGGAGTAAGTTGGTTCAAATCATGTTCACATCTTGGCCTATGTTTGGACAGCTAAGCTTTAATTATTATTAGCTAAATTTAAATATTAATTTTAAAGATATTTATTTAATATAAAATTTTTATTAATTTTTTTAATTACAATTAAAATAATAACTTTTTTAATAATAATTATAATAATTTTTATTATAATTTTTAATTTTATTAAAATTAATTTTATCATCTATTCAAATAAACTCTTAATTTATATGAGTAGCAACTTTGTCAATAAAAGATTCCACAGTTTCGAAGCTAGTTCACTCTCAGTTACAAAAACAAGATGCAAAGGCTTCTACTAGACTTAACACTGAAATTAACCCCCATCTCTATAGAGCTAAACAACAAAAAGTATGAAGAAATTGTCGGTTTTCTTGAATTTTTAATGCCTTAATGCCAATGGTTTATGTCCTAAATAGCCTTGATGCCTTAATACGAATATCTTTATTATTTCTAATAATTAAAAAAAAAAAAGAAATCTACGTTAATTGATTAAAAAAGAAAAATAGATATTGGTCATTAATAATAAGAAGAAGAAGACGTTTAGCATGTCTACCATGTAATCAATTACCTTCTTCCTTCCTTCAAAAAATTTGGTGAATGGTCGTTCGACCAAGCATGAAAACACTACACCAACTCTTCTACCCACAGAAATCCATTTCATTTTTTTTCTTCTTTTCTTTTCAGTGGTCGTCCTTGCTTTGTACCTTACACCGTCCGGACTCCGTAGCATGCATATCTAGTCATCAATAGACAATAAAGCCCAAGATTTTGCATCACGATTACCCTTTGCTTACTCCAAAAGTCGTTGAAAAGCAAAACTTCATGTCCCATGCTTTCTCTCACAGTACTTTTATCACAGATTTCTTCGGCTAAAGGTCTGCCACTTGATCTTATTTGCCCTTAATCAGCTCCAACCAAAATAAGCTTTCAAATTGTCGGAAATTATTTTTGATGTTGGTGCTGTCTCTCTTTTCCAAATTGGCAATACATCATTGTCATCCCTAGTGGCTTTCATGAAAATGCAATTCACCCAATGTCAAAAAGATTGCAATTTGATAGTTTCTTTAACTATATTTTTTTGCGTTTTCATGACATTTTGTTAACAAAAAGATGAAAGGAAACCTTGCTTTGGAGGCATGGAAGTCTAGCTGGATCCACAATAAAATCTGAATCATACGGCAACATAGGTTTTTCTTTTCTTTTGCTTTTAAAAAAAAAAAATTAGGTCGATTTCATGCTTTTTCTTTATTTTTCTTTTCGGTAAATGGAGGTGGATTTTTCCTGCTTGAAATTATTGTGGAACTCAATACTTGTCAAGCCATTTTCAACAGCAATTAGCTCATGTTTACATGAGACAAATCTTTTTGCATGTTATAGCACCATGACCTTTCATGACTTGAGGGTAGCCCTGGCCCCTATTTGGCGAAAATACCAAGCAATTTCCAAAGAAAAACAAACAAAAAAAATTGATAGTCACACTTTTTGATCATTCAAGTCGGTAGACATTCCTATGAATGCCTTACTATGATAAATGATCAAAATGTTATACATGTGTTTACATTATCATCAACACAATAAAAGAAATTTCTTGTTGATTATTATGATAAATGATCAGCATGTTATACATGTGTTTACATTATGATCAACACAATAAACGAAATTTCTTGTTGACACTTGATATTTTTTCTTTAATTTTAATAGATAGTCCTCAATTTTTCTTTTGATATAATAAGTATATTTTCCTAACTAATTAGTTTTATACACTTGTAACAAAAGGTTTGGTATTACATGCATAATTAATTCTATTTATATTTAACCATGTATCTATTTAATTGTAATGCTAACGTATTGTAGTAGATAAGATAAGTTAGATAACAAAGATTTGGAGTTAACTCACAACTTATTTATGAAGATTTTAAACTTTTTTTTTTATCAAATATTTTTTGGTACAAGAAAAGAAGTAGTCTAAAGTAAATATGATAATATAAAATATGACACGGTGATATAATACGAACATGAAATAAAAATATGACACAAATGTGATATGGCTTAAAATTTTAATAATAATTATATATGGGTTTAATAAAACTAAAAAAATTTATTTCATATTTTTGTAGTGACACGAATTATAACACATAATTTTTGTATAACACATAATACGAATATACAAATTTTAATATTTTTCACGATACGAATACATGAATCACTATGTCTAGCCTAAAAATAAAAAAATAGATTGTATGTGTTAAGATTTGAATTATAAACTTATTAGACGCCACTTAAAGGTAATTAATTATATTAACCAATTGAGTTAAAATTGAAATTCTTTTTTACCAAGATTTTAAACTTTGATACTAAAAAAATTTGGTTTAGACATGTTTTCCTTTTACTTAAAAAGTTAGGTTAAATTTAAATCACGCCATCCCATACATATATATATATATATATATATATATATATATATAAAAGAATTTAAACTCTCTCCAAATATAAAAGTAGAGAACAATTTTAACCGAAAAATCCCAACAACACAAAAAGGAAAAATACAAATTTGATAATAACATTGTTTTCATTGTTCAAGTAGTTACTTTTATAAGTAAATGTTATGTTTGATATATAAAATTATTGATAAGATATGATAATAATTATTTTATATTATATTTGATTTGTATCTAAACAAATGGATATGAATTGTAAGAAGGATTAATAGTCTCTTAGTATAGGATTATTCAATTCTTCCCAAGTTGAGATAATTATTTTTACTCCACTGGATTAAACTTATATATATCCAATTATATTATTAAAAATTACATCAATAATTTAAATTGTATAAATTTTGAGGAAAAATAATTTTGACAAATAAATAAATTATTTTATCATAATTCATGTATATATCAAACATAAAATAAGATAATATTATTTAATCTAATTTTATTCATAACATTATCTTATCTTATCTTATCATAATTTTATGTACCCAACATAACCAAAGTTTCATTAATAATGAACAAACCCTTTACAAATTTGTCACATCAAATCTAATGAAATTTGATTTCAACTTTGTTGGATGCCTTCTTTTTTTAGCATACAATGCTTTTAATATAATTGTAGAAAATACATTTTATTTGTATAAAACATTTAAAATAAAGCTTACTATATTTTACAAAAATTGACTTTCAGAAAATGTTTTCAGGAAAATGTTTACATTTTTTGAAAGAAAAAGAGATTTTCTATTATTTAGATTAGTTAATAAAAAATGTTTTTTGTTATTTATTATTTTTTGAAAAAATTTTATTTTTTCATATAACATTACTATAACTATTAAAATATTAAAAATTATTTATTATTAAAGTATATTGAAATTATTTATTATTAAAATTTTAATATTCAAGAATAATTATATTTTATTATTATTAATAATATTTAATATTAAAATATTATATTAATATAAAAATATTTAAAATAAAACTATTTATTATTCTTTATATTAATATTTTAAAATATTTAAAGTAATATTACTATTCTTAAAATATTATTTTTATTAATATTCAAATAGCTATATTTATTATTAAAATATTTATACTATTAAATATTTATATTTTATATTGAAAGTATCTATTATTAAATAATAATAAAAAACTTTTTTATTTATATTTATTATTAAAATAGTAATATAAATACCTTAATAAATAAAAATAAAAAATTATATATTTTAAACTAAAAATAAGCATTTATTAAAAATATTCATATTAAGAAAATAATAATATTATTTTTTAACATTAATTATTAAAATAATGAAAGTATTATTATATATGTCATTATATATTATCAAAACAATAATATAATACTATTTATTATTGAAATATTAAAAATATTTATGTTTACTAATATACAAAATAAAAATATTTAAAATTGAAGTATAAAAAAACTTTTAATGCTAATATTTTAATTTTGTAATTAAAATTAAATAAAATATTTTTATTAATATAATAACATTTTAAGTCGAATCAAATCAAATTCTAACGTAAAGTATTATATTCAAAGCCTTACTTGAATAGAATTATAAAAATATTTAAAATTAAAATATTAAAAGACTTTTAATGTTAATATTTTAATTTTTTAAGTAAAATTAAATAAAAATATTATTTATTAATATAATAATATTTGGGTCTAGTCAAATTAAGTTTGATTTAAGTAGAATTATACTCAAATATATTGATATATAATTTTACTCATAAATAATTTTTTTCTGAAAATTGTCTTTCTTTTTTGACAATATAAAGATAATTTTCAAAAAAATTACCTCAATTTTTGTTGACTAATAAATTTTTTTTCGATAATTAATTAATTTTTTGTCAAACAAACATCTAAAAATTTAAAAATTATTTTTTACATAATAAACAAAGCTTAAATAAGCTAACTCGCATTTATAATTTTATGTGATTTTCAACGTTTTTCACTAAACATGATAATATTTTTTCACACCTAAGACTTAACTCCTCCTCGAGTAGTTAATTTCATGCTGTTTCTAGAAAAAAACAAAGAAAGTAAGAAAGTAGGAATAAAGAAACTTTAAATTAAATTAAAGTAAATAAAAAACTAAATCAATTGAGATTTTATAGAATATTTAATTGCACTAAATACTAAAAAAGTAAAAAATTAAAATGGAAATATAGATGAAAATATTAACATTTATATTTTTATATCAAACTTTAATTAATTCATACAATCTTACATGATAAATTTAAAATTTAAAATTTTTAACATTAATTTTTTTTTTATTCCGACCTCGCCTGTACCCAAATGCAGGGAGCGCGGTTGTTAGTAAATTGTTATTATATTTTTGGAGGGCAAACATTGTAATTAGGATTAAACAATTTGGGCAAAGTTAATAATAATCCCCACTTCGCGAGATTCTGTTCCCCAAAATTCTCAAAGCTAACTATCCAACTGCCGAAACAAAACCAAAAGCAAAAGGACTGTCCATCTCGTAATTCTATTAAACAACTGACACCCAGTCTTTTGTCCACCGTCTACGAAGAATCACAGTATCTCGCATCCTTATATTACACCACGTGTCTTTCTCTCATTCGTTGGACCGAATATTCCATCAAACATTCCTTAAACCTTTATTTATACCAAGTAAAATAAGAAAACCAAAAAGCACCAAACGGAGAAAGTATAGAAACAATGACAGAAGCATTGAGGAAAAGCTACGAGGTATGCCAAGAGATCGGCCGGGGAAGATTTGGCGTCGTCTTCAGGTGCGTTTCAATGAACTCAGGCGAATCATTCGCCGTTAAATCCATCGACAAACGTAAAATCTCCGACGGCGATTCTCTTGACTCTCAATGTCTTTTCAACGAGCCTAAAATCCTTACTCTAGTTTCGCCTCACCCGAACATAATCCACCTTCACAACCTCTATGAAGACGATTATCATCTCCATATGGTGCTCGATCTCTGCCCTCCTTCTCAAGACCTTTACAATTTCATCATCCAAAACGGGCCGCTCTCGGAGGCCCAAGCCCGGCCCATTGTGGCCCAACTTGTCCAAGCCCTTGCCCACATTCACAAGCTCGGCGTCGTACACCGTGATATCAAGCCGGAGAATATTCTGTTCGATTATAAAAATTCCGTCAAGTTAACGGATTTCGGTTCGGCCGAGGTGGAGGTGGATGTCATGAGAGGGGTGGTTGGGACCCCGTATTACGTGGCCCCGGAAGTTTTGGGTGGAAGGGAATACGGTGAGAAAGTTGACGTCTGGAGTTGCGGTGTCGTTTTGTATATAATGTTGGCGGGGTTTCCACCGTTTTATGGGGAGACGGTTGTGGAGATTTTTGAGGCGGTTTTGAGAGGGAATTTGAGGTTTCCTGTGAGGGTCTTCCAATCGGTTTCACCGGCGGTCAAAAATCTGTTGAGAAAAATGCTTTGTAAAGACGTTTCAAGAAGATTCTCCGCTGAACAAGTTCTTAGTAAGCTCAATTTTCACATTTACTTTATTTCTTGTTTTTTAATACCCATTATCTTTTAGATTTTAAATTTTGATGTTTGTTTTAATTTCTTTACAGGGCATCCTTGGATGACAGGTGAAAGCTAAATTTTGAAAGGGTATTTACTATTGTACATTGAGGGTTTTTTTTTTTTTTTTTTAAATTTGGAAAAGAGGGATTTAACGCTATTGTTATTTGAGCGGAAAATCATGCATAATTAAATGTTTGGATGTTGAGAAAAAGTTTTTTGAGCTTTTCTTTCTTTTGGTATAATGTATGGAAAGATATATCCTATAAAAAATCTTAGGAGTTTTCAATAATTTTTGTTTTTTTTTTTAATTTTATTTTAATGAATCTTTTTAGTTAGTTCTAAATATATAATATGTTCCTCAATTTTAATTAATCTTTTATCTTTATTATATTTTTTTCTCTATTTAAGATTGTTGAAATTTAAATTTTCATCATTAAAAGTAAAATTTAATATTTTATTGATAAATCACATTATTATTGGCAAAAAAAGTTATATCAATAAAATTATTATTTAAATTATATCATTAGGGCATAAAATAAAAAGAAATACTTACATGAAACTAGTTGCGATAAAGATAATATGTCTTTTTAGTAAGATTAGCATTTTAAATTATTTCGAGAATAAAATTTTAAATGTATTAAATCATATGTGAGAAATTATGTTTTTAAAATTATTTGAAATAAAAATAAAAAATAATTCAATTGAATTATTTGATTATTTTTAACAAGTGACATTCAAAAGATATAGAATTTAAATTATAAAATATGTAATTTTTTCTTCTCATTTTATGATTCTTTTATATAAAAAAATAATCAAAATAAAATTACATTTAAGCAAAATTAACTTTTTAAGATATCTTTAATTCGATTCAATAATGTAAAGGGGGTTAGAACCAATTATGCACGGAAATAGTTAAATACTTATTAGGAAGATAAGTCTTGGTTGTGAGTATTTGAAGTTTGAGATAGCGTGAAGAAGATAAGTTTTGCAGTTTTGCATTGAAGCCAAAAACTTTATTGTGATGGGGTTGGGGTGTACCCATCAATCTCCATCACGTTCTTTTTTTTTTTTTTTTCCTCAAATCTTTATAGCCCATAGATTTAGAAAGGATCTTAGGGTTAAATTGATCCAACAACAAGTGAAATTTCAGTGTTTTCAACTCCAAATACTCCAAAGATTATAAACAATTTAATAATCATATAATCGGCATTTTAATCCAACTTCCTCAATTTAACAATTTATTATATTTTTTTCATAACACATGACAAATATAAAATATAGAAATAATTTATTTAGTTGATATTTTATAGGATTTTTTAATTATAATTTATTTATATATTTAGTTAAATATTTTCAAAATATCTGTATATATATTTTGTTAAGTTGCATGGAACATAATTATTATCCTAACATTGATTGTTTTTATGTAGATAAAATATTAATATATGTATATATATTTTATATGTACTAATATCAAATAAATATATTTTAAATTTTATATATAAGAATGTTAAGTAAAGGGTATTTTACGTTTTATTTTGATTCTGTTATGAGTAAAAATAAGAAGATTTTGTGTTTTATATTTTCAAAACGGGTGGGACCATGAGCTATTTCTTGTTACCAAAAATATTTTGTAGTGAACTGTATAGCATGATTAGCTAATTCTGGTGGCAGCACTGCAAGGAGCGAAGATGTATTCATTGGATGAGCTGGAATCGAATGTGCATATCAAAAGTACAAGGGATGGATGAGATTCAAAGATATGCAAAAGTTTAACAAAGCTTTGTTGGCAAAACAAGGTTGGAGGCTTCTCACAAATTGTAACACTGTGACATATGGTGTACTAAAAGCAAGATACTCTCCAAATGTCAATTTCTTAGAATCTAGTCTAGGAAATAATCCTTCTTTGATATAGAGAAGTATATGGTAATACAAAGACATATTGTAATAAGAGATTAGATGTGCGTGGATAATGGGCAAATGATAAAAATTTATAGACATAAGTGGTTGCTTCTCACACCAGAGTTTACTCCAAAATCGTCGAGAGGAACATGGGATGAAGGACTTGTTAATGAGCTTATCGATAGCAAAACAATGCAATTGAATACTGAGTTGCTTAAACTCATGTTTGAGGAAGAGGAGGCAGTGTTAATCAACACTTTACCCTTGACTAAGATGAACCTCCCAAACATACAAGTCTGGCACCACAACAACAAAGTAGTATATACAGTGAATAGTGGTTGTAGGTTGCTGTGTAATGAAGATCAAAACGGTTTTGTACATGAAAGAGGAAACAACCAGAGACTATGGAAGAAGATTTGGACAGCAGATGTGACAAACAAAATTAGAATATTCCTTTGGAGAGTTTGTCATGAATATTTACCTGTATTGCAAAATCTTACTGACAGGGGAATGCAGGTGGAAGCTACATGTTTCAGGTGCGGACAGCAAAATGAAACAGTAGGCCATGCTTTGAGATAATGTGCAGTGGCAAGAGAGGTGTGGCAACAGTTAAACTTCTCGTAGGACCAGAGATGAAGAATTGGTAGAATGGATAATGAGCTTAGTTGAAGTGTTGAACAGAGAACAGCTCCAGCAATTTGCTATTACCATCTGGGCAATTTGGAATGGTAGATATGAAGAATTCCACGAAGAGGAGAAGTATACAGTAACAAGTATGGCTGATTTTACCAAACGGTACATTGAAGAATATAACCAGGCACAGGTGCCCTTGATTAGAGAACAAAGTAGGATATTTCAACCTAGGAAACCACCTAGTGACAGGTTCTATAAAGTAAAATTTGATGGTGCTTTGAGCAAAAAAGAAAGAATAGGTGGTATTGGGTTATTATTCGAAACTTTGAAGGGAAGATTATGGGCACTTGTTTAGCAAAACTGGAAAATGTTATAGATCCTTTTGTAGTGGAAGCAACTACGGCAATTAAGGTGATGGATTTTGCATAGGAAATGGGTTTCTGGCTAGTGATAATTGAAGGAGATGCTCTAGATGTTCTGAAGAAGTTTCAATCCTGAGAACAAGATTTTTCACCCATAGGACATATTATAGATGAGGCAAGAAGTAAGATGAGATGTTTCCATACCTGTTCCTTCATGCAAATAAATCGAACCGGCAATGTTGCAGCGCATATGTTAGCTAAACATGGGATAGGTATTGACGAGGAGATGTATTGGGTAGAGGATATCCCTTCTTCAATGTTTGATGTTTCTACTAGATACATTAATGATTAATAATATTTTATATAAAAAAAATTGTTAAGGACAGAGAAATTATTATAGATGATATTTTGAAGCAAGGAAATGTATTAAATATTTGAAAAAAATAATTTATTTTTTAATAAAACGTTGTCTTTTCCTAAAAAGTTTTTTTTTATTTGTTAAGGGTAAATAAATTTTTGTATCTAAAATTTTTTTATAATATATTCCAACAAATATTATGTTTTTAATTTTAAAAATGTTATCTTTATTAAAACTATAAAATTTAAAAAATATATTTTTATTAATATATTTTAAATAAAGATAATGTTTTTTAGATTAAAAACGTGATTATTGTTATATTTTAATAAAGATAGTGTTTTTTAAAAAAATGTGATCTTTAAATTATAAAACATAAAAATAATTCTTTTCATAATATATTTTTAAGAAAAATCATATTTTTAATAAAAAAATACGATTTTTGTTAAAAATATAGCAAACATCACTTTTTTAATCTAAAAAACATAATCTTTGTTTAAAATATATTTTTAAAAAATTTCTTTGCAATATCTTATAAAAAATTATTACATTTTTAAGGTAAATAATATTATTTATATAGTTAAAAAATGCTATTGAATAAGGGCATATGGGGAAATAAAAAAATTTTCCTTCAAAATATAAAAATATTTAGGAAGAGAAGAGTTTTTTATTCTTTTACTTTGTCCAATTTTGACATTGTTGAAAACGTAAGATTTTTTATTCGAAAAATTTTTTTTCAATCAAACTAAAGAATCATATAATAAAAAGTTAGATTATGAGAGAGAAAGTAAGAATCTATGAATCAATCTGTCATGAAGTTTTGAATTTAAGTTTTATTATACGTAATTTTAGTTCAATTTTATATTAAACTTATTTAATTATGTTTTAATTTATTGATGGATTATTTAATAATTTTTAACATTTAAATTTAATATTTTATTATGATTATTTTCTGTACTTATAGTTTAAAAGAAATATTTATTATAAAAAATAATAAGAAAAAAAAATCACTGATTTGTCTTATAAAAGCCAAAATTATTACGTGAGACGTGGCATGCTCGAAGTAGACTAGCGTAAAGCAAAGAAATATGCAATCGGAATCTAACAAAAGAACGTAAAAAAAAAGGTCATTTGAATTTGACCCATGTGGGTGGGCCGTAAGTTCGTCGGTGGCTATATAATATTTAACATTATTTTTCTTAAGAGAATTAAAATCATAAGAATAAGAATTAAATCATGGATCCGACCAGGTGCTATTGATATCTTTAAACATCGAATCTGATAATTATTATATTATAATTAATTAATAAAAATTATATTGAATTTGTCACAATTTTATATGAATGTAACACTTATAGATGGTAAACCTTTAATTTTTTTTTTTAAAGGGTGATTGAAAAATGATAGTAAAAAAATTGAAGATAAAAGGCACCCATACATGATAGAAGAGTCCGCGTAAGCAGCTAGGGCACAAGCATGCTAACAGAGGGAAATCCACAATCACTAGATGGTAGGACTAAATGCAAACATCAATACCGAAAGGCAATTCCTCAAGGAATTTAGGTTTCATGCTTCTTTCCTAGCCTTACATATGAAATCGGATGCATCGATTTGCAGTTGTATCATTTGTTAAGGAGGCCGGGCAGCTGGTGGCAACCGCAGCGGGGACTGCAGCGGCTGGATAATATCTTCAATCCAAACCATTTGTTCCTTCATGTATGTGCTACTTTAGCCAAAGTTTGAGCTGCCTCATTAGTGTTCCTCCTGGCATGTGCAATCCCAGTCTCTTGAAAGCCTGCCATACTCATCTGTGCTTCTTCTATGAGATTACCTATATTTGACAGATTTGTCCTGATATAATAATAATAAAGAAATAAAAAGATGGGAAAATAGAACTTGAATTGAAAGTTGAAATTCTTACTTATGTGAAGAAGATTACATGAAAGAAAAACCAAAGATGAGCATGTATTAGCAAAAACTTCCCTTTTTAGTTCTATCTCTAATACGAAAAACTCAAGAGAACATAACATCAACTCAATCTCAATAGAAATATAAACCAGAAAACTAGTAAGAAGTACCAGCAACATCTAGAGGATCCAATGTTTAAGACACAACTACTTAAGTACACTCCGTAATGTGACTTTGAAAAGTCATACTAATTATTAAGAGATTACAAGGCTTAATTAAACTTGTACACTTGTAATTTCATTATTAGATTGCTGCCCAAATTGTGTTTCAGTTCCATTTTCTTGCTCAGCTTCCCCAGATATTTCTTCCAGTGATTTTCCTTTTGATTCCGGCACCAAAAATGTGAACAACAATCCCAAGAAGTTGATGACACCCAAAATTATGAGTGTTTTCTTCACTCCAATGCCATCTGCTGCATACAAAAAGCCAAATGCACCCACAATTGCCCCTGCCTTACCTGATGCAGCTGATATTCCATGGCATGTTGATCTTAACCTTGCTGGGAAAATTTCAGCAGGGACTACAAATGTGGTGGCATTTGGTCCGAAATTCGCGAAGAAGAAAGTTAAAGAGTACATAATAACGAACCCAATTCTGTTGTCCGGTAGAGTCCAATGATAGTATGGAATTGCCAATGCAAACATGAACACTGTCATGAAGAAGAATCCCATCAATTGGATTTTGAATCTCCCCATCTTATCAATTAATGCAACGGTGAACCAATATCCAGGAACAGTGCTGCACAGTGCAATCAGAGTTTGGGCTCTTGCAATTCTGTAAACTTCTTCAAGAGCATTCATGGTTTTTGCCTTTGGAATCCAACCAATGGCACTAAAGATGTCCTTTTGAAACAGATTCTGACTATAGAAGGCAATGTCCAACAAGAACCAAGTACTCGTGGTACCAAGCAAGTGAAGTCCATGTCTACGAAGAAATTGTGTGGTGAACAAGCCAAAATCACTCCCTTTGTTCTGTTCTAGTTTCTGCTGTTCCTCTTCCAAATCAACCTGAAGAACTTTTGACATATCTGCTGCAGCCTGTTTTGCATTCTTGGCTACCAAGGCAGTGTAACGAGCAGTTTCAGGCATCTTCATGCGCCAGTAATAAGTAAGCAAAGCTGGGAGTGCCCCAAACATCAAAATTGTCCTCCAAACATAATCGGCTTCTGGCACGGTTGACCCATTTGCATCCATCTCATAAGATGGGGCAGGGTATTTGGCCTTAAAACCTGCAGAAACTATAATAGCAACCATCCCTCCAGCCAAAATACCAAAACCTTGCATAGCAAAAACAGCAGCAATGAAAGCACCGCGAGTTTTTTTGTTAGCGTATTCGGACATGATGGTAGCAGAAAGAGGATAGTCACCACCAATACCAAAACCAAGCCAGAAGCGAAAGAAGCAAAGGGTAGCCATAACGGATTTAGGGTCACGGCCAAAGGAAAGGCCAGAGGCAACCGAACAGATGACCATGACTAACAGCGTCATGCCATACACACGTTTCCGTCCCATCTTGTCACCGAGCCAACCAAAAAAGAGCTGGCCTGTAAGGGTACCGCAGAATGCTACACCATTGACAGCAGCCGAAACATTAGAAGGAAGATTTCCTGGGGTAGCAGCACCTTCCTTGTGGTAATATATGCGACCAAGCAATTTGGTGACCAAGGAAATGCAAAACAGGTCATATGCATCAGTGAAAAATCCCATGCCGGCAATGATAATTGCTGTAAAGTGATACCATTGTGTTTTGGCTACATCAAGTGCAT